AGGGAGCGTCATCAGTGGCGCGCGAGATGCGGTGATGATGTAAGTGACGTTGTTGCATTTTAATGTTTTGTTAGTCTAGCCCACGAGACGCGCCGCTGCTGCGTTATTCATTCAACATATTAGTGAAATATAGAAGCTCAATGCGGAGAAGATCTTGAATGGGTTAAAACCGAAACCAAGCCATTCACACAGACCGCATATTCAGCGCATTTTTTAGACAGACAAATATGACTGCTGCACGCGCGTCTCACACAAGAGATGTATAGAAAGCCATGCAAAGTTAAAACAGTTTAAAGTTTTAGAAAACACGTCACGAATTTGTGGAGGTTTATTCCTTTTCACTGCGTCTCATATGTTTTTAAATGCAGTCTGTGTGAATGGCGCTTCGGCTCTTTGGATTAATCAATGCATAGATACATGATGCTGTTTTGTTTATGCAATTTACGAAATTATATTAGATTTTTATGAGTTAATTTAGACGTAATGCACGTTTTTATAGAGCTACTTGAGTACAGTAAAAGTACTAAAATGTGTTACAATCATTTTATAATAAATACAGAAGCAAGATGTGAAAAAACTAGGGAGTTTATGGCAACTGAGCTAATTAGTGATCCTCTGGTGCCATCTACTGGTTATAATGCTAATTTAATGTAATTTTCATCTAAACAAGGCTTTGTTTTCCGCCAGGAGACACATTTTTGGCACAATTTGTCATGTCATCTTCATGAATGAAAAGTGAATCTTTAAGACGTTTCACCGGAAGTTTACGAGCTGGCTTATCTTAATGCAGAAGTTCTAAAGAAGGCTCTGTCCATATAGTCCATTAACTGTGACGTTTTAAAGCACGGTTAATAGTGAAATCGGTTAATCGTTGCATCCCTACTCTAGACCACTTCTTCTGTTCTGAGAACTGGTTCATGACTGATTCATATAGTTTCTTTGCAATGTTTTGTTATTATGCATCATTTGTTATTATGTCTCATTTCTGGTATGAGTTGTTTCTATCAAAGCAAACATATTTTGTTTGTGGTGTGTGTTTGGCCAGGTGTTCTGTGCTGCTTGTTGTAGTCTGAAAAGCAGGCTGATGTACATGGACAGGAAAGAAGCGAGGGTTTGTGTTACCTGCCACCGTGCACTTATGAATGGTGAGTTATATGAAACTCATAGGAATAGTTATACATTTCCCTATATAGGCTGGGAGTTTTTGTACAGAATACAGAAATGAACCAGTTAACACTTGAAATTAGTTTTACTATGTGAATAACCAGATCCTTTGAACTCTGTGTCTTACTTATAAGCTCAAGCATGGGAGAACATGGGAGGTGGTTGCAACCAGAGCCCAAATCCCAACAACCCAGCTGAGTACTGCTCCACTATTCCCCCTCTGCAGCAAGCCCAGGCATCAGGAGCAATCAGCTCCCCACCCCCAACTGTCATGGTGCCTGTTGGTGTCCTCAAACAGCCAGGGTCTGAAGGTAAATTCTGTAGGATATTGCCAAAAGCATTGTTAATTTGTAGATTGCTGATTTCGACTTTTCAGCAGTGTTCAAACTGTGTTAGGGCACTTTGTGAGTCCCCATCCCGTAAACTTCATTATAGGTCTGTTTAGTGGGAGCTTCACTTACCATAACCTAATCGTGCACTAACAACTACTGTTGTCATTCCTTAAAACTCAGTCATCATTTACTCGCCCTCATATTATTCCAAACCTGTATTACTTTATTCTGTTGAACACAAAAGAAAATATTTTCAGAAATGTCTCAGAATCTCATTGTCCATACATTGGAAGTCAATGGTTACCAAAGCTATTTGGTTACTAACAGGGCTGTCACAATATCAGATTTTCACTACATGATTATAGGAGCCAATCTTTTATTTAATTTTGTTTATTTGGTGTTTTCTCAGTGAATTTTTGTTCAGTGAATCGCACTCCAAATGCAAATGTAAGAAGGCGGAGAGAGAGTTTGTAACCATAACTTAACCATCACCTGTCATCTATCTCCTCTGGACCTGATTTTGTGCAGCAGTAGTAGCTACGCATTGTGTTTTATTTTTGGGGTTTTATGATACACAAACACCACCTAATATATTGGAGATGCTGGCTTATTTACAATATTGTGTTTATATATAATATAGTTAATATTAACAAGATATTAGTGCTGTCAATTGATTAAAAAAAGATTAATTAATCGCACATTTCCCCCCCGAAATTAATCGCGATTAATTCCACCTAACATTTAAGGTTTTTAATTATGCTTTTATATTGCAATCTTCAAATTAATGTAGAAACAACATAAAGACAGTATATTTTTAATATTTGCTTAATGGCATCTTTTTTATGATTGAAGGTGATTATCACTGATATCAATACTACTGATGTCTCTAGGAAATTGTTTTTTTTTCCTCTAATATTTAACCATTGACTATAGTCATTCAACATTACAGTATAATTGAGAGCTATCAATTTTAACATTTATTAGACTTTAAAAAAATAACAACTTTGAATTTAAGTGAACCTAAAACAATCTTCACATAAACCCTTTAATAAATGTCATATTTAGCTACCTGTGCCCTTCAGCAAGTAGGAAATATACAGAAATTAAAGTCATTAAACACTAAATTCTAAATTAAATATAGATGAATCCTTAAAGCTACAAAAGTTGGATTTCCTCTTTTTTTTTTTCTTTTCCTGTTCTTTGATTAACAGACATCACAGCAGCTAGGTTATTTTGGTTGCTTTAACGGCTGCATGACACGGATCTGACACGCATCTCTTTACCTTTTCTGACTCACTTCAGGTCTTAAAGTCTATACTAATGAGCTGACGAGTTGAATCGGGTGTGTTAGATGAGGGAGACAGTGCTGGTGTGCTCCAGGACAGTTTTGAAAACCACTGCATTTTAGAGACACGTTCTTAAATTTAAATCGTATATAACAAATCGTTACATGCACAGTTTTAAGGCAGCTTTAATCGCCTTTTTGTAACTTCATGACTTAACTGATGACATAACTACGACATTGCATGCTCGTGGTTTCATTTGTGCATGCAATTGAAGAGCACGTGCTATGAGCACAGTATAACGGCTGACAGGACAGAAAAATTTGTTTTTACTGACATATGGCCTGACAACATCTCATCTGACCGCAGTTCACTGTTGTTCTAGTGAAGCTCCCTCGTCACCTGTACCTTTTCCGTGCTCGTTTGACCAGCGCCTGGCGCTGAGATGAAGTTGGAGTGCACGTCTGAAAAGTCTCCCGTTTAATGTGGCCGCAAAGACGTTCTGCATCTAAATAAACACAGTTCTTGTCAAGAAAAAAGAGACAGAAGCAGCAGTTGTGAGTGTGGTGACCAACTCTAGCTCCACCCCTGCAGTAAATATTTTTAATGTGTTAAACTGAAAAATTTAATTGCATGCGTTATCTTGTAGTGCTGTCAAAATTAGCACGTTATCAATATTTCATTTTTTAAATATTACAGTTATTGTCAATGCCGGCATATTGTGACACCCAAGCTACCAGCATTCTTTAAAATATCTTCTTTTGTGTTCCACATAATAAATAAAGTCATACAGATGACAGAATTGAGTCCTTAAGGGTTTTTAGAGCTAGATCACTGATGAAAAGTTGGATTAAAAACAAAACAAAACATGATGTCAGAGCAGCAGTTTGACCATTCCTTGGTTTGTTCTTATATGTGACAGGTCCCTCTACTCTGAATTTGAACACTGCTTTTCATGCTGTGTATTGTTTAAAGTCTAGAGTTCGCTATTCATAAGCCTCCCTGTGTTTGTGTGTGTGTATGTGTGTATGTGTACTTTCAGGTTCTCTTCCTCGAGAGCAAAGAAGGGTTTGGTTTGCTGACGGCATTTTACCCAATGGGGAAACTACAGACTCTTCTAAAGGGCCAGCAGGAAACCCCAACCCCACACAGCCTGTGGCAGCATCGCAAAATTCAAACAAATCCTCAGGAGCCAATGCTTCTGCGGTGAAGATTTGCTTTATCAATTTTTTCGAATCATCTGTAATATAGAGTTTTTACAGGCATAAGCTTGTTTCTGATTGTGATTCTTACCCTGAGACAGTTGCGTTATGTTGTGGCATAAGTTTGTGTCTCTTGCCCTGCCATAGGCGGCCCGTGCCACTGGAGCCCCGACCGCCAGCCCTGTGGGCAGCTCTCTCAGTCTGATCCCAGAGGACGGACTTCCTCCCATCCTCATCTCCACAGGCATCAAAGGAGGTACGGGAGGCCACATCACAGGTGCTTGCCCATCCTCACCATTCAGCTGCCTCCACTCCTGAAAATATGAGTATTGGTGATTGTTTGTGCATGTCTGTATGCATGTATCTGTGTTTCTGCTTACGTCTCCACCACTCATGCTAAGGGCGGACTTTCATTGGGTTGGTTCCTCATCTGGGTTGTACCATGAGAGGAAACTGAATAGAGTCATGGAGCAGTTTGTTGATAGTTACAGTACTGATATTATGTGTCTTGTCTGCAGACTATGCTGTGGAGGAAAGACCTTCTGAGATTGTGCTGATGCAGCAGCTTGAGGAGGGCGGACCTGATCCCCTGGTGTTTGTTCTCAATGCCAACCTGCTGGCCATGGTCAAACTGGTCAATTGTGAGTGAGCCACTCCTTGCTAGATGTTCTCTTGGGTTCAATTTTAAGTGTATGTGCTAATAGAGTGAATTTGTGAAATCATTTTCCTGGGCATTTCTCTTTAACTATGGGCATGTTTGGTTAATTTGTCCTATAAAAATGAATCTTCACCTTTTTCATTGTTTTTAATATTTCTGGAATTAGATGCAAAAAAATCTACTTTTTGCAAAGGCTAATATCACAGATGGCTTTAAATAATATTAATGAATTCATTTTCAGTTTTTGCATAAATTGACAGATTTTGCTCACAAGTGTTTACCTTATTTCTTTACACATCATTTTTTTTCGTTATACACTCATATTTATTTTTTAGCAATTTAATGTTTTTTTCACAGTATTACTACAATTTAAAATATTTGAATACATTTTAAAATGTAATTTATTACAATGTAATTTATTAACAAAGCTGAATTTTCAGCAGCCATTACTTCAGTCTTCAATGTCACATGATCCTTCAGAAATCATTCTAATTGCTCAAGAAATATTTCTTATTATTATTAAGGTTAAAAACTCTTAATATTTTTTTGAAACAGAAATCTTTTGAAACATTATGAATGTCTTTACTGTCAATTTCGATCAATTTTGCATTATTTTTTAACAAGTATTAATTTAGTAAAAAAAAGGAAAACTTGCTGACCCCCAAATTTTGAATGGTAGTCTATATAAACCATTTACACACAGTACATATTTAAAGGGTTTTGTAAATATGCCTGAAGTTAAATAATTTTATTAGTTACCCATTTTATTAGTTACAGTTGTAGCAATTATTGAATGTAATGCATTCATTGTAGCATTTTAGTTGAACTTAACTGGTAGCTGCATGTCTTGGCTATTGTCATTCTTTTGTGGAATTGCAGAAAATTGGCAACATGAGGCTTTCCTTCACTATGCCATGGAAATTCCCATGAGTCATAACAGTCTTTTGTGTCATCTTTGTGTGAAGATGTAAATAGGAAGTGCTGGTATATTATGACAAAGGGCATGCATGCCGTGGGCCAGGCAGAGGTTGTAGTGCTTCTACAGTGCCTCCCTGACGAGAAAACCATTCCCAAGAACGTCTTCAGCCACTTCGTCCAGCTGTACCGGGAGGCTCTCACAGGTAAACTGATACGCCTCCACCAGGGGGCCCGTTCTGGTAAACTGATCCAGACCAAATGAGAGCAAGGCCTACATAGATAAAATTAGACCGTTCTTCCAGTAGGCTCTTAAAGGTAAAATGAGGCTGCTGGCCCTGGTGGCATTGAGGATCCACTTCAGCAGAAATTGTTTTCGAGACACAATAATCCTCTTGTCACCAAGTTCTGCTTCAGGTCAGCGGGTTCAGCCACAGAACAGTTCCCATGTCATCTTACTCTGACAACATTCCCTGTGAGCCTAATGTAGGATGTGTGCCAAGTCAGATGTGTTCAGTAAAAGAATGTTATTTGTCTGGCCAAGTTCAATGGTACATAATGTACATAGTGGCTAATGCTGAGGAACTCTCATGAACTTTTTTTGTTCTATTGGAGCATTATGAGCTGTTGCAATTTTAGTTCTACAATCTAATGATCTGTAAACAGTCAGCATCCTAAATTAACTGAACTACAAATAAAGCAGCGGCCACATTTTTTGCCCATAAGAAATTTCACAGAAGTTTCGCTTATGTGACTGGATCTTTGCATTCTACATAGTCAGCAACTGCTCACCACATGGTAGTAATAAATTAGCAAAATAATCTAGCAAAATGTTGCAAAGCTTACAACAATATACTCTAATAAGCATAAAAATGCAAAAGAAATATTGAAATAGCTAATTTGTAATTGAATGCAAATATATAGTTCAGTCATGAAACTCTAGATGGCGCATTCTGACGGGGTGGTAACGTAACTAATGATATTTAGAGAGTTAAACGACTTGGCACAAGGTGATTGGTTCATGCTGCATATGCAGCCAATGAGCTTACTGCCTTGCATTTATATGGCTGACTAGCATTCACTTGAGATTCCTGCAGCGCGCTTTCAGAGTTCTCTGAAACCCTCCACCTTCCCCAGCTCCACCTGTATAGATCTGCTACGGGGTTATTTTATATGCTATTTGTGCAGCAGCAGTATGTCTTAAATACTCATGGCACCGTATCGCCATATGCATTGGCAGTAGCAAGTTCCTCTACTTGCTTGCAGCAGCAGCAGTAATCTACAACTACCGCAATAACCAACAGCAGCAGCAATTCAGCAGCAGCGTAGCAGATCTGTTCCGCCAAGACCAAATACATTAACATTGTCATATCCATCACCGTGCTAAAATGTTCCGACAGTTGTCATGATTGAACTACACTTCAGTTGAAATAAAATATTCATATTTGACATTTGTGACTCTGGACCACAAAACCAGTCTCAAGTCGCTGGGGTATATTTTTAGCAAATGGAAAGCGTATTTATTGTATTTATTGATGTATAAATCTCAATTTCAAAAAATTTACCCTTAGGACTGGTTTTGTGGTCCAGGGTCACATTTAAGTCTGTCTATCATCTTGGACGTAACGTTACTGTTAACAACAACTTGATTATTATTGTGGCAGTTATATTCCAGCAAAGTTGTATAGCCTTTTAAATAGTTGCAAAACACTTTTTTTTTTTTTATCTAATTGGAAATAACTTAAGCATGAAGCACAGTGGTAGAGCTTGATCTAATCCCACATTTTCTTCTGTTCAGGTAATGTGTTAAGTCACCTGGGCCACTCCTTCTTCACTCAGAGCTTCCTGGGCAGCAAGGAGCACGGCGGCTTCCTTTATATCAGCCCCACGTTCCAGACCCTGCAGGAACTGCCGTTGCCTAACCCACCCTACCTCTTTGGCATCCTGGTGCAGAAGTGGGAGACCCCCTGGGCCAAGGTCTTTCCCATCCGACTCATGCTCCGCCTGGGGGCGGAATACCGATGTGAGATTTTGGTTTGATGTTGAATTTGAGGCCTGTGTGATGGTTTAGCTGTGTCGAACGATGAAATATCTTGTAGTTTTTATTGTATATTTGACCTCTTGACATAGTGAGGTGTGCGTTTACAGGATATAGCTAATGCAAGGCCCCTTTTTGATGCCTGTAGTAGAGCTGTTCAAGAAACAATGCAGAAAATGTCTTTTTCTATGCCCCTGAGGCAAGTCCTCCTGTGGAGATGGAATATATTAACAATGTATTTCCCGCTGAGCTTCTCAACTCATGAATTCTCATCCATGACATTTTTTTTGCTCACAAGTTTGCTCACTTACAGTTAGAAGCACCATGTACGGTTCTAGTCTCATGTTTATCTGGGTGCATGAAGACTGGTTAGACACATAGGCCCCCGATTTTTACATTACAGTAATTGCAATATTACCGTATATAATAGGGGCCTTTCAGTCATGTGGAGTGTTTAGGAGCTTATTGTGAGCTGCTGATTTGAATAGCATGACTTGTTTGGATGGCTTAGCGTGTTCTTATGCACTTGTGTTGCAGTCTACCCCTGCCCACTATTTAGCGTTCGCTTCAGAAAACCCCTCTTTGGAGAGACTGGTCATACCATTATGAACTTATTGTCAGTGAGTATACTTATTTCACTTCTTCTTCTGCATTTAGCACATGCCTTACGTCAATATGAACCCATGTCTTGTCATTTATGGGCATCTGACTTTTCTCACGTCTACAGGATTTCCGTAATTACCAATACACGTTGCCGGTGGTGAAGGGGCTGGTGGTGGACATGGAAGTGAGGAAGACTTGCATCAAGATACCGAGCAACCATTACAATGAGGTGCATGAAGACTAGCACATGCCACAGAGACGCTATTTGAATTTCTGTTGCATTTGTGGCAACACGTTTAAAACAGAATGCGCACAAAGTGTTTTTGAGATGTATGTGGAACAGCGAGCATAGCAGATTGATGCCAAATGTCCCATGGAACAAGTGAAGCATTGACAACAGCTTGTCTCAGTGTCCTTTTCTCGAGTCATTGAAGAGTTTTGGTATTTAGCTTGTGTTTGAAAAGCGTTTGACAGAGCAGAACTTGTAGTGGCAGACCTTTGACATAGCAGGGATTATTTAAAGCCTCGAGTGCCTTGTGTCTTACTCTCTGCTGTCTTTAGAAGCTGTCATTCACTCAACTAGGACTTATAAACCCTTAAGAACTAAGAATTAAGTATTAAGATTATGCATAACTTTGGAAAGTCATGACAAGCTTTTCTTTCGGCTTTCTCCTTTCTCAGCTCATGAAGGCAATGAATAAGTCCAACGAGCATGTGCTGGCAATGGGAGCGTGCTTCAACGAGCGAGCGGATTCCCATCTTGTCTGTGTTCAGAATGACGATGGGAACTACCAGACGCAGGCTATCAGTATTCATCACCAGCCTCGCAAAGGTGCGCCACGGTTACTTGCATTTGCAAATGAAACCTTGAAGCCGCACCCAAAGATTTCACCCAGTGTGTGTACACTATTGTTCAGACATTTTCAACATTGTTAATAAGAAAGGTTTCTTGAGCACCAAATCAGCATATTAGAATGATTTTGGAAGGATCATGTGAAGACTGGAGTAATGGCTGCTGAAAATTCAGCTTTGCCATCACAGGAATAAATTACAGTTTTAAAATATCTTAAAATAGACAACAGTTATTTTTAATTGTAATAATATTTCACAATCATACTGTTTTTACTGTCTTTGTGATCAAATAAATGGTGAGCATAATGCCAAGTTCACACTACAGGATTTTAAGCCTGATTTAAAGGCACAATATGTAATTTTCGCCATTTTAATAAAAAAATCTTACATATTGTGCCTTTAAGCCCGATTTGCAAGTTAACGAGCTCGCCGACATGTCCGGCTGTGATCGGGGGAAAATCAGCGGGTGATCGGCGCTCGGCAATCTTTATGTGTGAACTACACAACGACGCATCAAAGAGGCTCACTGACGCGCCGCCGACACCTCGCCGACGGCAAACAAATATCTAGCATGCCAAATATCTGGACCGGTCGGCCGACTCGACATCACGTGTTGTCAGGTGTCGTGACGAGCTACAGCTAATGAGCAAGGCATGGGTTGAGGTCACCGGAAGAAAAACAACAGCAGCAACATGGCTTAAAGAAAAGTTTGGACACAATAAATGGAGCAAAATTGTTCATAGAGCAAACCTTGCAGCGCTAATTTCTTCCCGACATCCATTTTCAAATAAACAACTCCTGTTTCACGTGTTGTTTCGCGTCATTCCCGTTCCAATTCTCGCGTGTGTTTTCGTGACAAAATGTGGTTTGTTGAGTCGTTGGGTGACATTGTTGTTAGCTTTTGTAGTGTGTAACCCCCGGTTGCGGATCATTTACGTAGTGCCACGTAGTGTGAACACCACAACGACTTAAAGACTCCACAGCAAGTCATGTAGTCTGAATAGCACAGCGATCTGCCAACGTTTAAAGTCCTGTAGTGTGAACTTATCTTAAGAGACATCTTTCAAAAACATTAAAAAAATGACCAACCCCAAACTTTTGAAGGGTAATGTATGAAAATGACAGATGTCAGTCGTTTAAAGATGTCTTCAAATTAATCACGTTGATTAACCCAATCAAAGGGATAGTTCACCCAAACATGAAAAATTCTATTGTCATTTTCTTACCCTCATGTCATTCCAAACCGGTCTTCTGTGAAACCAAACAGTTTCCTTTCCCACTGACTTCCATTGTACTTTTTGTCCATACAATGGAAGTCAGTGAGAACTGAAACTGTTTGAAACTCTTCAAAATTTCTCCTTTTATGTTCTGCAGAAGAAGAGTCCTAACAGGTTTAGAATGACAAGAGGGTGAGTAAATTATGACAGATTTTTTTTGTTTAATATATATGCACACTACCGGTCAAAAGTTTGGGATCAGTAAGACTTGTAATGTTTTTAAAGAAGTCTCTTATGCTCATCAAGGCTGCATTTATTTGATCAAAAATACAGACTGGCAGAATTGTACTTTTTGTACCAACTGATTCTAATTTGTAAAATTGTAAAATATTGTGCAGATTTGTGTACTTATAATTGTAATGATAAATTATTGTGCCTCAGATGGCGTGATGGTGCAGATTACAGCTGAAATGATGGAGGCCTTACGGCAAGCTCTGAGAGAGATGAAAGATTTCAGTATTGCCTGTGGGAAAGCTGATCAGGAGGAGAACCAGGAGCATGTCCATATCCAGTGGGTTGATGATGACCACAACGTCAACAAGGGGTATCTATACAACTGTAAAACTGACTCTTTTGCTTGACGAGTTCACTGACATCATTCCCTAAAATGTCATTTAAAGTCCCCCTCCTCTTTTAGTGACTGGGGCCTCCTTCTTTGTGTTCAGCGGGGCTTTAAAGGCTTCATCGGGCTACTTGGCTAAGACCAGCATTGTGGAAGGTACAGCAGAAAACATTTGCATTCCTCTTTCTCTAAATGTAGGACATCTGATCCCTCTGGAACAATGACTAAACTGGACATAATCTCCCTTTTAATGTTTCTGACCAAAGTCAAAGTCTGGCAGAATTGTACTTTTTGTACCAACTGATTCTAATTTGTAAAATTGTAAAATATTGTGCAGATTTGTGTTCTTATAATTGTAATGATAAATTCTTGTGCCTCAGATGGCGTGATGGTGCAGATTACAGCTGAAATGATGGAGGCCTTACGGCAAGCCCTGAGAGAGATGAAAGATTTCAGTATTGCCTGTGGGAAAGCTGATCAGGAGGAGAACCAGGAGCATGTCCATATCCAGTGGGTTGATGATGACCACAACGTCAACAAGGGGTATCTATACAACTGTAAAACTGACTCTTTTGCTTGACGAGTTCACTGACATCATTCCCTAAAATGTCATTTAAAGTCCCCCTGTAGTGAAAATCAAGTTTATGTAAACGCAGGCTGCAAACTTCAAAAGATTCATGCAGCTCCCATATTCCGTTATTTACTTTTAATGATATTTTTACAGTACACACATACAAATATATATTTTTTCCATTTACCAAAATTGTATTCTTTACCATACTATTATTTATACTTTCGCTGTATATCTTTGACTCTGTACTTACTATCCATAATCATGATTCTTTGTTATGCCCGATGAACCGTTTGTTGGTTAATAAGATGTTTTCCTAACATTGACCTGGATAGGCTGCAGTGTTTACAGTATATGTTGGAATTCATACTAACCTTTCTTTGGCATTAGGACTGTGTTAGTACTTTAAGTCTTTGTATCAGTATTGTTATTTATTTATTTCTGAATTTGTATCATGTCCTACAGATCAGTAATAAAGCAGCATGTTTTTAAATAATAACAAACTATATCCAGTGGGTTGATGATGACCACAACGTCAACAAGGGGTATCTATACAACTGTAAAACTGACTCTTTTTCTTGATTAGTTCACTGACATCATTCCCTAAAATGTAATTTAAGAGCATTCACATCAAATAATGATCCAGGTTTAATAGAGTGTGCTGCTGAGATCTTAATCAAATGCACATCAGGTATTTAACTTTTAGCAGTAAACGCAGGCTGCAAACTTCAAAAGATTCATGCAGCTCCCATATTCCGTTATTTACTTTTAATGATATTTTTACAGTACACCCATACAAATATGTATTTTTTCCATTTACCAAAATTGAATTCTTTACCATACTATTATTTATACTTTCGCTGTATATCTTTGACTCTGTACTTACTATCCATAATCATGATTCTTTGTTATGCCCGATGAACCGTTTGTTGGTTAATAAGATGTTTTCCTAACATTGACCTGGATAAGCTGCAGTGTTTACAGTATATGTTGGAATTCATACTAACCTTTCTTTGGCATTAGGACTGTGTTGGTACTTTAAGTCTTTGTATCAGTATTGTTATTTATTTATTTCTGAATTTGTATCATGTCCTACAGATCAGTAATAAAGCAGCATGTTTTTAAATAATAACAAACTCTGAGATAATTGTTTCAGAGTGTGGTCAGAGCTGGTTTTATGAGGCATAAGAGATTGATATATATCCTTCTGATGTTTATCATATCATCAGCCGCTTTTGTGGATATCCCTTTAAAAACAATGGGCCTCATTCATGAAACTTGCGTAAATATATGAGTAAATTCAGAGTAATTTGCGCGTAAAACAGACCTTCCCGAAAACTCTCCTCCGGATTCACAAATGCTTCATAAACATCAGATTTGATAGTTAAACATGTGTATGTTAATGAATTCCGAACATTCGTAAATGGGGCGAGCGTGCATGCTCATTCATAATTACCATAATCCGCGCCCATGAATCCGACTGACAACTATATATGGGCATAATATTATGAAACGAAAATAAGGACTTCAACATGTCCTCTCAAAAGAGCCCATGAATCCCACTGACAACTATATATGGGCATAATATTATGAAACGAAAATAAGGACTTCAACATGTCCTCTCAAAAGCGAATGAAAAAGAAAAATTTCTCAGACGCAGAAATTGAAGATAACGATAAAGATATAGTTCTAAAAATAGTTCACAATATTAAAGAATAGCAGAGTCCACACCACAACTATAACGATAAAGGCACTTAGAATAAACAAACGATATAGTTCGCTGGTGTGGACGCTAATATCGTTATCTTTATAGTTATCGTTCTTGGTGTGAACGGGCCTTAAGGCCCATTCACACCAAACACGATAATTATAAAGATAACGATAAAGATATAGTTCTAAAAATCGTTGAAACGAAAATAAGGACTTCAACATGTCCTCTCAAAAGCGAATTAAAAAGAAATATTTCTCACGCAGAAATTGAAGATAACGATAAAGATATAGTTCTAAAAATCTTTCACAATATTAAAGAATAGCAGAGTCCACACCACAACTATAACGATAAAGGCACTTAGAATAAACAAACGATATAGTTCGCTGGTGTGGACGCTAATATCGTTATCTTTATAGTTATCGTTCTTGGTGTGATGAACGATACAAATATTGACAGCCAATCAGAATCCATCCTGCTATAACGAGCTCGATAATTTTAAAGCGGCAGATGCGCGTGCGCTTAGAATAAACAAACGATATAGTTCGCTATAGACTAATTGGTACATCCCTAACAAAAGTAGCTAATTAATTATTTGATAAAAGTGTTAAATTTGCATCTGCACGGTCTCTAAAAATAGGCCTACGTCTTTTGTGCAGCACTCTGTCTGCCAAATCTAGCAATAGCGCTATATCAGCCATAGGAAATGTTTATTGTTATTCCTCATTCTGGCCATTTTATAAAAACCATTTCCGTAATAATTGAGAGACTAATTGGTACATCCCTAACAAAAGTAGCTAATTAATTATTTGATAAAAGTGTTAAATTTGCAGATAATATTACTGCTGTTCATTATAGGCCTAATAGTAAAAAGGAAAACACAGTATACTGTGTATAATTACTGTGTTATTTTATCAAAATGCTGCGTGATACATACGTGATTATATAAGGTAAATAGTTTTATAAACATGCAGCGCCATCAATGAGCAAAACGTTCGGATGATTACAACCCATTTACGCGGGGCTGGGAGCAAGAGTAAATTTGTGTACCAACTAAAATTTGTAAAATACGAACACTTTCATGAATCCCAAAATTTACGTCAGAACAGCTTTACGAACGATTTACACAAAAATGTGTTTGCTCGTGTTTCATGAATGAGGCCCAATTTGTTTACAACGGGAAATATTCAGTCCCAGGTTCTGGAGCTTTGCGGGTTCCATGGTAAATGCTGCTGACCTCATTCAACATTCAGGCGTCTCATTCAATTATATGGATTGTTCCTGATGAAGTCCTGACTGGTTGAAACTCTCATGCTGTTTTATTAACAAATTTCTGGAGTTGTAATTTCAGTGTGCAGACATCTATCCTTTTTTGTTAAATGCTGTTGACTTGTCATGAACAAACATCATACTCATCTCACCTGTGCACATATTTTCAGAGTGATCAGCTCCGTTGATGGGAAATCCATGGAGTCTGTCACCAGCGTTAAGATCTTCCATGGCTCGGAATATAAAGCCAATGGGAAAGTCATCCGTTGGACAGAGGTTTTTAACATTGATTCATTATTCATCTTCATCTAACGTTATGAACTCTATTGAAATGACATTTCAAATCTGTATGACTGACTTTCTTCTGTGGAACACAAAAGAACATATTTTGAAAAATGACATGGTGCTTTTTTCGTGAATACATTGAAATTCAGTGGGATCCAGTGATCCTGTTTTGGACTTCAGTGACTTTTATAATTGGAACAAAAGCATATAATTTTTTTGTCGCAAATGATACAATTCTACTTTTTAACTCCGTATATTACGTTGTGTTGTTTGCTCAGGTGTTCTTCCTGCGGAGCGAGGACCAGACCAATGGCCTGAGCGATCCTGCGGACCACAGCCGCCTCGCTGAGAATGTGGCAAGGGCTTTCTGCGTGGCCCTGTGCCCTCACCTCAAACTTCTCAAAGAGGACGGCATGGCCAAACTGGGCCTGCGGGTCACGTTGGACTCAGATCAGGTGACAAGGACAAGCTCCATTTAAACGTCTATATTTCCAAATTAATTGATATTGAATCTAATCGAATTGAGATCGAAATTGAATCGCAAGCTTGTGAATCGAATCGTGAAATTTGTCTCAAAACCCAGCCCTAATCACAATAATCCACAAGTAATCCACACAACTCCAGTCCATCAATTAACATCTTGTGAAGCGAAAATCTGCATGTTTGTAATAAACAAATCTATCATTAAGACGTTTATAACTTCAAACCATTGCTTCGGCTGAAATATAAGTCCTCTTTCCATAATATTGCTTTCTCCAGTGGAAAAGTCGTCTCATCTGATTTAGGAGAGAAATATGCACAGATCAAGCACTGTTTACATTTTTGGGTGAGGTGTCCCTTTAAAGGGTTAGTTCACCCAAAAATTGAAATTAGCTTGTGTTTTACTCACCCTCGAAGCATCCTAGGTGTATATGACTTTCTTCGTTCAGACGAATCCAGTCGGAGTTATATTAAAAATTGTCTTTGATCTTTCAAGCTGTGTAATGGCACTCAGCGGGTGTTGCAGTTGACTGGTTTTCCTTTGCTGAAGTAAGGAAACTTTGCTTCCTTTGCTCCTATTAAACAAAGTCGCGAGACTAGCATATCTCAGAGGCGCGCGCGCGCTGCGCATACGTCATACGCCTTCCGCCGGAACGGATCCGCGTATGACAGATAACGGAAGTGTTTATTACGTTTGAAATATGGATATTTTTCTTACAAAAACTCATGGATTCGCTACAGGGGGCCTTTATTCATTCATCGGAGCCGTCTGCGGCACGTTTTATTATGAATGCGCAAGCTTTATTTGACGACTTGTGGACTGTTTAACTGCAACACCCGCTAAGTGCCATTAAACAGCTTGAAAGATCAAAGAAAATTTTTTAATATAACTCCGACTGGATTCGTCTGAAAGAAGAAAGTCATATAAACCTAGGATGCTTCGAGGGTGAGTAAAACACAAGCTAATTTCCATTTTTGGGTGAACTAACCCTTTAAGATCAGAATCCAGCAGAATCAAAACTGCAGCACGTGCTTAAAAACAATGTTATTTTGCGTTGATGTGGATGCTGCTGATGTAGTCATCGTTATAGTTATCATTATTGATATGAATGGATCTTTACTCTGAAATGTCTTACAGGTGGGCTACCTAGCAGGTAGTAACGGTCAGCCGCTGCTCCCCCAGTACCTGAGCGATCTAGACAGTGCCCTCATCCCAGTTATCCACAGTGGGGCCTGCCAGCTAAGTGAAGGGCCTGTGGTGATGGAGCTCATCTTCTACATCCTGGAGATCATCTCCTAAAACGAGGGAATCTGTCCAGTCTCCGACTCATGCCTCCCACCAGCTCGAGTCCCTCTTCGCTGTCTTTCTCTCTCATTTGCACTTCAAAGAGCCTGAAAGCTGTGCAGGAACAAGTCCTCCATACCACCTATGCACCATCTCCACTGGGATCCCCTCTGCCCAGCCCTGCTGAATGTGGTGCTCTCTTTCGTTTCTCCACACCTCTCAACTCCACTGTGGAAACCATAGGCCCTGTTGAGTCAAAAGGGGTGGCGACCCTGAATTCCCTGAATTCAGAGAACTGTTGTAGCAACACTAAGCTCCTCAAACACAAGAGGGCGCTCTACACGCTCAGCCCTAATGGAGACTTCCAGATGGTGAGGAGACTGACAGAAGGAAAGGTTCTGGTACACAGAGCCTGGGCCTCAATTAGAAACGAAGAATGAGCTTCAGTCTCACCTCTATAAGCTTTATGAATCACCAGATGCTTTATTTCATGAATATGGACCTCGTATATTTTTTGGTTAGGCAAAACTGCTCCAAAGCTAATATGATGTAGCTTCCTCAGAGACGGGCTGCATGACATGGCAGTGGAAAGATTGTGGAACAGTATTAGGAATGTTGTCGATTGAGTTACTGTTACAAATGTCAAGAACGGACCTCCGTTATAGACTTACTAAGACAATAAGATCAACAATAATTTCAAGCGGCCTTCTGGAATTCAACTACAACTTCAATTCCACATAATGGTAGGTTTTGACACGACTGAATGTCTCAGTCCAATAAAGCTTTTATAATGGATCGGTTTGGATCGGGACAGAGGATGAAATGTTACAGTCTCTCTGGGCCACTGCATTTAGCATCCCATCCCTGTCCCATCTCTTCTTTCAACCTTTTTTAGTGGCCCATGTTTATAGAATGTTCTGCCAGTGTTTTTAACATGTTATCATATAAAGGATTATGTAAGGAATAGCAATGCAGTGCACGGGATTTTAAGCCATCATTAAGAAAATGGAAGGAGGGAATAAAGAATATTGAAACGTTATTCAAAGATGAACACTATATTCATATATGAGGAAAGGTTGGGTTTTGGGATGTGGTTCCAAAGCTCTTAATTCAGCTATCAGTTTGGGGTCCTTAATGGCATTCATTTCTCATAGTGTTAAGGTGCAGTTACATTAGGGAAATTTTGCGGGCAAAAAAGTTCATTGTCTGTTGTCAATAGTGTACGATGTGTGAAGCACAGCTCACACTGAAAGCACATTGAAACCAAGCAACTTTATGTTGGTCAACACGGTCAAATAGGGTTCTGTTGGGAAATATGCTGCATGCAAAATTCACGATTGAGTGGATTCCAATTTAAATGACTGGATTTTGCCTTTGAAAATTTGTTGAAGAGCTGTAAACGTGACCGCACCTTTTCATATTTAATGTCCTTTTATAGATATGATAATATCATTATCAATATGCTTTAGCAGGGCTTCAGACTGCTTCTGAAATAGTTGCAAATGCAACAAAATACAAATTTGTGGCAATTATTTATAATGTTGTAACTTAGGATAGTGTTTTGTGTGTGTCTGTATATGGTTTCATTGGCGAAAATGAAAAATGTATATATATATTTTTTTTTTCTCTCATTTTTTTTAAATTACACCTTTATATGGCGAGCCGTGATGTCTGATTTACGGATAAATGATTCTCAAGAACCGGTTGTTTTTAATGTGTCAAATGGATTTGTGAGTTAGCATGTTGAATCCGATTCAGTCAGTGAGTCATTCAGAGTTTGCAAAAGATTTATTTAACTGCAAGTCAGTTGCCACATTCTGAACAGCATCGTTCTCAAGCGGTTGCAGTTATTGGTTCAAAAGACATTTTGCTTCTAAACATTTAATTTTAAGAGTCATGTTAGTCTGGAGCCCTGCTTTAGATTCCCTCAATTAGGTTGTTGTATATTTTACCGATGTAATATATCAGATACACTCTAAAAAATGCTGGGTTAAAAAGGGACAAACCCAGCTATTGGGTTGTTTTGAACCCAACCGCTGGGTCAAAACAACCCAATAGCTGGGTTATATTTAACCCAACATTTTTTTAGAGTGTAGAAGAATCCTTGAGGTCAGTCACTTCATAATCAAGATAGAAAGACACTATTGATTTTTCACTCACATGGAGAAAATTGATTACTACTACAGGTAGCCAACTCAATTTGGAACTCTCCCAAAACCGAAAACTACCAATATAAGGAGCTCTTGTAATTTAGGATGTCGCTGTGGATCACATTTCAAGAGAAACGGGCATTTGCCGTAAAAATTCATAAGCTGATACGTTCATCAAGATATATTCCAAAGGTCAACTGGATTGTCAATAACATCTAAACTGATAGAAAGACAGAGTGTTTTTAACCAGTCCTCTTCAGCTAACTAGGCACTATTAAAATGACTTCAACTAAAGTATCTTGACTATGACAATCATTAATCTTTTAGTCAGATAACAAAGTAAGGTGGGATGGTAACATATTGTCCTGTTTTGCATAATGACTCAGAATATGGTTGGTTTCATCAGATGGCCTATGCTTGATGAATGAGGACCGCAGCTGATATGAAGATCCACAGCAAGTCAACCTCACAGCCCTTTATTAACAGGTCAACAGTTGAGACATAAATCATGTGTTTCTGGCTTTTGGTGAAGAGCGCCGACAGCTTTGGAAGCAGACTGTTCATGAAAAATAAATGTTGAAAAATAAAAGCTGCATTGTCTTGCCACTAACACAGCCTTTTGTTACTCCCTGTATCCACCTTTGTCATTGTTTTTCTAGATGTGCAGTATTGTATATCTTGACATTTATATATTTTGTTAACCATAGCCTTTTTCTATGTAATTAGTTTTTTTTTTTTTTGGTCAGCCCAAAGCTTAACAGCATGCATGCTGAAACCGACGAGAACATGCAATTCTGAAAGTCTTTGCATTTCGACAGCATTTCAGAGGACGAGTTTTGAATACTATTGATTTGATCCGTGATGAAACACTGTTAAAACCTGACATGGGTGAAATGGGAATAAATTTGCAATGTATAAAAAGCCAAAAAGAAAAAGGAAGACAATACAACCTTTCTTTATTGTACACTACAAATGTCAATAAAAGTATACAAAATGTCATCTTTGTACAAGAAACTGAATTTTTTTTTTTTATTAATAGTCTCCATTATAAATTAAAATTAAATGATCCATTTCAGTTAACCAAGAAAATTCAGGAACTGCAGATCTTGGTTTTTCTTGTTTAATAACAAAACGGTTTAAATAAACGGTGTAAAATAGAAATAAATTACATGGCCGATTCTTGAGGGAAAGAGTAGAAAGATGCATTGAGAACAGCATGACTAAACTCAAACATTATGGCATATGTAACATAACCAGACAACTGAGAGCTGAGTTTTTCAGGATAAGTCTTGCGGTGGATTTAACCATTTAATGAAGAATTGACCCTGACAGTACGATTTAAACCAGGACAAACCTCAATCCAAGACTGGAAAATGTGCCAAACCACACAATTCACGTGAGATGTGAACAACCGTAACTGAAACGAATGGACAGAGATGCTGGACAGTGTTAAGAACTAGGCTGATAAATTTAGATCGTACATTGTCCATGCTTAAAACTCGCCAAATGTCAGTCAATTCTTCACAAGCTGTAATCCAAACAGACCACAAAATATAAATGGGCAAACCTGAGGTAATGTAGACTTTTTTACCGATGTAATATATCAGATACACTCTAAAAAATGCTGGGTTAAAAAGGGACAAACCCAGCTATTGGGTTGTTTTGAACCCAACCGCTGGGTCAAAACAACCCAATAGCTGGGTTATATTTAACCCAACATTTTTTTAGAGTGTAGAAGAATCCTTGAGGTCAGTCACTTCATAATCAAGATAGAAAGACACTATTGATTTTTCACTCACATGGAGAAAATTGATTACTACTACAGGTAGCCAACTCAATTTGGAACTCTCCCAAAACCGAAAACTACCAATATAAGGAGCTCTTGTAATTTAGGATGTCGCTGTGGATCACATTTCAAGAGAAACGGGCATTTGCCGTAAAAATTCATAAGCTGATACGTTCATCAAGATATATTCCAAAGGTCAACTGGATTGTCAATAACATCTAAACTGATAGAAAGACAGAGTGTTTTTAACCAGTCCTCTTCAGCTAACTAGGCACTATTAAAATGACTTCAACTAAAGTATCTTGACTATGACAATCATTAATCTTTTAGTCAGATAACAAAGTAAGGTGGGATGGTAACATATTGTCCTGTTTTGCATAATGACTCAGAATATGGTTGGTTTCATCAGATGGCCTATGCTTGATGAATGAGGACCGCAGCTGATATGAAGATCCACAGCAAGTCAACCTCACAGCCCTTTATTAACAGGTCAACAGTTGAGACATAAATCATGTGTTTCTGGCTTTTGGTGAAGAGCGCCGACAGCTTTGGAAGCAGACTGTTCATGAAAAATAAATGTTGAAAAATAAAAGCTGCATTGTCTTGCCACTAACACAGCCTTTTGTTACTCCCTGTATCCACCTTTGTCATTGTTTTTCTAGATGTGCAGTATTGTATATCTTGACATTTATATATTTTGTTAACCATAGCCTTTTTCTATGTAATTAGTTTTTTTTTTTTTTGGTCAGCCCAAAGCTTAACAGCATGCATGCTGAAACCGACGAGAACATGCAATTCTGAAAGTCTTTGCATTTCGACAGCATTTCAGAGGACGAGTTTTGAATACTATTGATTTGATCCGTGATGAAACACTGTTAAAACCTGACATGGGTGAAATGGGAATAAATTTGCAATGTATAAAAAGCCAAAAAGAAAAAGGAAGACAATACAACCTTTCTTTATTGTACACTACAAATGTCAATAAAAGTATACAAAATGTCATCTTTGTACAAGAAACTGAATTTTTTTTTTTTATTAATAGTCTCCATTATAAATTAAAATTAAATGATCCATTTCAGTTAACCAAGAAAATTCAGGAACTGCAGATCTTGGTTTTTCTTGTTTAATAACAAAACGGTTTAAATAAACGGTGTAAAATAGAAATAAATTACATGGCCGATTCTTGAGGGAAAGAGTAGAAAGATGCATTGAGAACAGCATGACTAAACTCAAACATTATGGCATATGTAACATAACCAGACAACTGAGAGCTGAGTTTTTCAGGATAAGTCTTGCGGTGGATTTAACCATTTAATGAAGAATTGACCCTGACAGTACGATTTA